AAAAAAAAAAAAAAATCACAGGGAAAGACTATACACCCCATTCCATCTTTGGCCTCTTTCTACCCCCCATCCTGCCGTACAAGACACCTCTACCGAAACAGACTTCCACACACTTGAGCAGAAACGACACCGCATTTGAGCAACAGGCTGACAGCAGCAAGTCCACGGCAACTTCCAAAACTGTGTGATCTGCATTCTTGTCCACCTACACGCTATCCCAAACATCCTGCCATTAATTAGCTAAACGGTCCAGCTAGTAAACAAGAATAACGATTGAGGGGGCTGGAAAAAGAGACAGAGGCAGCCAGCAGATAGTCACAACAAACCAGCCCACTCGCTGGTACGCGCGGAGACGTTAGGGCTTGTGTTTTTTTTCCTTCCACGGAGGGGAAAAGAAAAATCACCTTAATATAACACTGTCTTTCCTGTTGCTGCGGCCACATCCATATTAGCAGGCTAGAAAAGTCATCCCATTTCTGCGGTAGGCACTCTGTCAAAGAAAAAGAAAATCTGTAATGAATTATCACGTCAACTTAAACGAGGGAAGAAGGCAGAGAGAAAGGCAAGGCTTTCTTCCTGTTTTGTCGACTCTTCTGGCTGCAATCTAATAGTGTGCTTAATCTGAACATTTCTGGTGGGGAAGCTATAAGCAACCGCTCTGTCTATTAAAAAAATCAGTGCGGTTAACAAGTGGTTAGTGACTCTATTTCAGGAGAGCAAGCGATATGCAAAAATGTAACGTCCTATTTTGTTAATTGCCTGCAAAATAGATGAGGCCAAAAATACACTATTATGCTGAATCTGTTTGGCCTTTATAAGCATGTGTTCTCGATTCACTTTGCTCGAGAATCGCTTCTAACCTAAATATCTTAATAGTCTATAAATTACTGAATCATTACAGGTTTTCCAAACCTAATTTATAGCCTGGGCCAAAAGCTGTGTAAACAGACACTGGTATAACTCCCTGCCCCCCTCCCCAAACAAATTAATCTTAAAGAAGCACCAGTCAGTGCAAAATAATTTGATATGCTGTATATTGTAACCTGGGATCAAGTATTTTCGATGATAAAGCAACAGAAGAGTTAAATAGTATTTGAGAAAAGAATTTTACAAGATAACTGTGACGTTGTCTCACTAAAATAACTTTCATGCATTTTTTAATGTCTCTTTCTGAATCAATATAGGAAGCTATGCCTTTTTTTTTTTTTTTTTTTTTTTTTTTTTCAGGACCCAGGAAACTTTTTTTTTTTTTTTTTTTTACTCAGGACCACTGGAAACCCTATGTTTTAAGGGGATCTTCTCAGTGAAAAATGTATTGCTAAAAATATTTTTAGATATTAATAATAGCTTCAAAATTTCCATTTTGGAGGAGTTTAAATACTTTTCCTCCTTTTGGTTCATCTTCAGTAGTCATAGTTTTGCAAATGAAAATATATTTATTTTTATATTTTATTTCATTACAGCTTCATCAGACTTATTGTCTGCCTCTTATGTTTGAGCACTGGGGAAGTGGTGCATATGACTACCACATTTAGTTGCCCTGTACCGATTTCCAAATTAATTTCAGTGAGACCAATTTATCCTCCTTTAAACTTGAATTAGAAAAGTATCATTAAAACAGAGCAAAGGATAACCTCAAACAGCTTTGCATATAAATATTTATACTGAACAGCAAGGAAATAGTTTCGAAAACAGCAAATATACTCAGAGAGACATTTATAGACTCTGAATATGCAAAAGGAAATAAATACAAGATATAAGTTATAGCATCCTTTACATTAACACTATACTTCAGTATCTAGATCTAACAGCATATGGTCAAAGGGCAGAGTGTCAGCTCTGGGACATATAGCCAGGCAGCAGACATGACAGTATCACCGCAAACAAAAAAGTCCAGAGACTCTATACCCGAAAACAAAATACACAAAAACAGACTAGCCAATAATTTTGAAAAGATTCAATATATTCCCACAACCACAAGCAGCAAGTCCAAGGGAGTTTGGATCCGCAGCTTGCCCAAATCATTATGGCTGGCATTTGGAAGTCTATGCAAAAGTAACGTTTTTAGCTCTTTGACCCTGATATTTTCACAGAGCTTTATAACCAGAGTGACAACCTTTAACATATAAATAAAATATTCAGGGCTATTGTGCAGTTTACACGGAGCTAAATGAACCCGAGTCTAAAGTTGGATTCACATTAAAGATAAAAGGTTGAACCTTGCAAAAGGAATTCTGGTTGCAAAGCAAAGCTGGGTTTGGCTGGGCTCACCTGGGAAATAATCAAGTCTAAAATTTTCCAATATTATATACTTAGTTATGCCCCTGAAAAGGTCATTTTAGAAGCAAGTTTCAGAGCAGGGAGGTTAACACCTTCAGAAAGGTGGACACACCCAGCAGGCTATATTTAGCAATATATTATAGCTACTGTGGCTATAGTTAGGATTGAAAACTATTTCCTACGTAACTCCCTCTTTCACATACTTTTAACTTTCTGAAACATTTGCCCTTGGGCTGAAATTTCCTTTGCTTTAATCTCTGCCCGAAGTTCAATTTCTTTGGAAAGGACCAAGAAAATTCCTTAAGCCATTCTGAAGTTCAGCAATAACGAAAACAACACACTTTTCCTTCCCAAGCCAAAGAGAGTAATTCTGATATATGCATATTTTATTAAGTCATAAATTGATGCATTTTACCCAGAAACAGGCTTTACCTTCAAACTCGGCTTAAAGGTAATTGTTTTGAGAATCAGTATTTCACAGGAGTTTGACTCATCCTGTTCCATAACTGGGTAACATTTCATTCTATTTCTGATACACTACTAGATAATAAAGCTTTAACCTCCAAAATGCCCTTATGCATAGCAAAAATGCTTTACAGTTCTCCCATAGTTCTGAGTTATGACATTTATCTTGAAGATACATACAGCCGAACTCACAATACTAAAAGATGTAGCTTTACATGCCAAGAGCTATGAAAAGAAACCCAGATGTTCTTTATAAACTGTGTATGTGTAGGTGCACTTGCAAGAGAGCGAGCGTGTATATATGTGACAGTCATTGACTGTGGTTTGATATAACATAAAGGGTTTGAATGAGATTTTGGGGTGTTTTATGCCACTTTGGCAGTATCCAGTTCTAAATAAAAGACTATTATGGCTAAGAATTACAGATACAGGATGATGCAGACTCCTGATGTGGGATGAAAATGGCAAGCCATAGCCACATCCATTTTGCCGGCACATAGTATCTTGCTATATTGCAATGTTAGGAGATATCATAGGCCTATGGTCCCTACCAGAGCCCCATGTGGCTAAGTGTCTACTGGATCCAAGTTTTCTGTGCTCATTCTCAAAATTTACTGTCTACCAGCCTGCTACCACCCCTGTTACGGGCCCAACTAGTGAAGTGACCACCTTGCAATTTATAAAAATTAGGAAATTTTTATACATGAGAAATCACAGAATCACAGAATCGTTTAGGTTGGAAGGGACCTCTGGAGATCATCTCGTCCAACCTCCCTGCTCAAGCAGGGTCCTCTAGAGCATATTGCCCAGGATCACATCCAGTATCTCCAGGGAAGGAGACTCCACTACCTCTCTGGGCAACCTGTTCCCCTAGCTTGGTACAAATTGCACAGTTCACCTTCCCAAAACAAATTCCATTCCATTCCAAAAGGTAATATAACCTGATTTGGTCAAGCCAGCTCTCGTAGAACCTCTTCCTGATCCTTGCTCTCATAAAACACGATTTTACATCCTCTCGTCTGACCTTGTTAAAGGTGAGACGATAGATTGCTCCTATCCCTAACGAGATCCCAAGCAGGCCGGGCCAAACTGAAAGAAGCTACATGACCCCTTCCTCTTGCCTTCTTTCCCCAGCCTGCTCTTCCTCCCACTGGGGGAAAGGCACGGATAATTTTGCTGCTGAGTGCTCTGCTTGCCCATGCAATCACCATGTGGAAGCATTTTTTCCTCTCTTTCTTTTAAGACAATCTCTGCAGAACCTTCTCCTAGTTTTGCCATTTGCAAGTAACACAGCAATCCCAAACTCACGTCAGTTTAAACATCTGTGCTGCATTATTCCATGCGTCCTCTTTCTGCCTACTGTACGAGGAACCTAAATTTGAAGAAGTTGTGCCTTTAAATTATAAAAGCACACTGGATTCTGATATAAAAATTTTCTCTGGGAGTGTGATCATTATTTACTAAATGAGGGTCTTTTTTTTTTTTTTCCTGAAAGGAGGTATAGTGAAGCAGAAATGAAGAGTAATGTTCACTTCTGCCAGTCATCTAAAAGCAAGATCACGCTTTCCCCTTTGTTTTGATGACAACAGACAAAACAAACAGCTTAAAAAAGGCAGTTTTCTTAAGAGCTCTGGAATAAAAGGCCTTGGTCAAGTAATTCCTCAAATTCCACAGAAAAGTCATCCTTTCTCTATGCCCTCTTTTGTCCTCTCTCTCCTGTAGTGGTAGCATGACGTAGCATATTACAAAAGATCAAGAAGAACTGCTCCATGAAGAGGGCAGCAAAACTCCTGTCCCCACAGTGGGTCACACAAAATGAAATATAGTTTACTGAAGAGCTAATAGGGCCAATTTATTGGCAGAACATCACACGTTTCTTAACACAGATATACTGAAGCTGTGATTTACAGAAACAAGCCCAAGCCAAACCCAAAGATTTGACTATGCCTCAATCTGGGAACATATCAGATTCGAAACAAAGACTTCTGAACAGGTACCTTAGCTAGAAATGGTTTCCAGTTAACAATTTATAGTAGTGCATAACTTACTTCACAGTTGTAACACGATGAGAAAGAATAATTTTGGCAAGAGAAAGGAACAGCTGTGATTTTTGAGTGGGCGGATGTGAGTTAAAATTCTTATTTGGGATAAAATTTGGAAAGTCTAGGGTAAAACATCTCCAACGGACATCCCAGACACTAAAATTTATTAGGCCAAATCCTCAGCTGGGTTAATTCTGCAGTTCTGCTTACTTTAAAGGTGAGATACAATTTCATACTGCTGGAGAATATGGTCTGTTGTATCATTCAAAGATGGTAAATCTTGAATTATAGGTTCCCTATAAGCAAGTTATAGAACAGCATTTTTAGAAGTCCAAGTCTGCCTTTCTTGTTACCCTTGTGTATGTGTGTGGGCAAGTGGTTTAATTACAGTGCATAAAGTGGAATGGCAGACAGAGACATCAAAATCAAAGAGCAAATCGTGGCTGAACTTCATTAGCAAACATAAATACAAATAGGCACATCTTGTTTGTGACATGCCACGGTCCTTTCCTCCTTTGGTAATTTTGCTCTATTCTCTCATATTTGCATAAATGTGAACTGAACCATATGACTTGACTGGGCTTATGACAGGGGAATCATATGCAAAACCTTTTTTCATTAAGTAATGCTCTTCATGCAGTCTTACAACGTTGCTGTGGAAATCAAGGAGGATTAGGTCTCAGACAGTGAAAGTCTTTATTTA